GCAGCTTCAGTCCCTGATGAAATTTGTCTGGGTGTAGGTTTGAATCTGTCCAAATCTCACAGGCTGGATGAGAAAGGCGATGATAACCTCCGTTTCGCAGCCTGGGGACGTGGCTGGTTTAGAGGGGTGTGAGGATGCTCATTAGGGACACAGGTTCTCCCCCAGAAATGAGGGGTGTCTCCAAGGTTTTGGGGAGGACTTGGTAGAGTATCCTGGCAGGTTGAACTTGGCAGCCCGGGTCTAGAAGATGATCTGGGCATGGCCAGGAGATGCACTGGAGCCAGAGGGAGAGTTTTGAACTGGCCACGTGCTTTTGGACACTCAGGGTGTTTAGTGGTGTGATTGTGAGCCCAACCAAGCTACTCTGGCTTGGGGTCATTTCATTTAATAATATAGGCAGGAGCGGCACAATGTGGATGCCCTGTTGCTGTTGGGGCCATATGCGCTTTAGAGCAGTGCAGAAAGCTGGCCAAGAGCCTTTACTGCTTCTTCATCACTGCAGAGAGATCACAGGACCATACATGCTCGGGTGGGAACATGAGAGAGGACCATGTGTCGTTTTATTTTGCATCTGACTCAGAAAGCCTGTTCAACACGAACACTGGAACAGTATGTGGCTGTCAGAAAACAGAAAATAGTTGTTTAAATATCAAAGATGATTTCAGAGCTCTGCTTCTCTGGGCAGCAGCTCCAAGTTTTAGTGCTGGGTGGGAAAAAATGGTCTGAAATGAGATGGATCAGTAAAGCTGCTGCTCTACCTACCTACCCTCCCTTCTCCAACCAATTATCCATGGTGCTGGGTCACCTCAGGCCAGCTTGGCTCCCTCAAAAGACTGTATCTTTTCTGTTTCAGCTCCCTGCTGTCTCACCACAGGGTGGTACAAATTATGGGACATGGGGATGTTGTGGGATCACAGGGAAAACCAGCCCCTGGGTTTGCTGCCGGCAGGTAGCTGAGTTATGAAGCCCAGATTTTAGCACCAGCTTCTTCCGGGCATGTCACAGAAAACTGTAAGCCTCAAGTGGTTGCTGCTTTTTTTCCATAGCAAGGGACATGTGTTAAATATAAGGAAATGTCAAAAGCAGCCACCAGACTCAGCTGTTTCCTCTTTTTTTTTTTTTTTTTTAAAAAAAAAGTGGGGAAAGAAAAGCTTTCTGAAAACTGTTGCTCCTACAAGAGGAATGCTTTGTAATGCTGATTTGTCTCTTATGCTTCCTCTGAACTGCGTTTGAGAAAGAAATTAACCCCGAGGCAGGATGGAGATTGGAAATGGAACTGCTAGCTGGGCTGAGCCAGGGGGTTGTGCAAAGGATAAACACTTGCAGGGCTTTAAGAAAGGATGGGGCCAGTTCATGAAACAGAAGTCCATCAAAGGCTATGTATGACAAAGGTGCTAATTTAGAGTTAAATAAAAGAGAGTCGGTAACAGGGTGGGAGCCCTGGTCCTGCTGTGGGTGCTGCAGATGCTCTCCCGGGACAGCAGGGCAAGGTTGGGATGCTGGAAATGTACCATTGGCACTTCAGCTTCTGCGGGAGAATGGCTTGACTGGGGGAAATCAGGCAAGAGCCTCCCAAGGGTCAAAGTGATAAACCCATCAGCTACCACAGAAGAGTCCAAGAGGCAACAGCAGCCCAGAACTGCTCTTGGGAGCTGAACAGGACCCCATTCAACATGGAAAGAGAGGCTATTTGCTGTGTCAGGACATGAATGCTAGGGGCAAGGCTCAAGAGAATGCCAAGCTCATCCTGTCCCCGCTGGCTTTCTTCAGCATCCTCCATGGGTGCTTCTGGCAGCTGCACCTAATTCTTATATGGCTTAGTAAAGTGAGCATGGGATGGCAGCGTGAGGTCTCCTGCAATCTAGCCCCAGGCATAATATTCACCTCTCCACGCCTCAGTTTCCCCTAGTAAATTGGATAATAATGAGATCTATTAACACTGTCATGTTACATCACATGTGTGGCAAGTGATTCATTACACGCCAACTCCGAGCACGTAAGGCAGCACGCGGTGGGTCAGGCAGCGCCGGGCTCATCCTGGCATGATGTCTGTCCGTGATTGCGGTGGCCTTCCAGCTATACATCACCTTCTTCCTCATCCCATCTCTCCCAACTTTTTCCTCACATCCCAGGGAAGTAAGTGCCTAGTCCCTGGGAGGAGAGACATGGCTTCTTCCCAGGCAGGACCCAGTGGGATTTCAGTGTCAGGGCTCATGCCAGAAGCTTCTCCACCCACACGCCTGCACTGTCATCACCCGTCACCCATCTCCCACGTGCTCACACGTGTGCTCCTTAATCCCTCACGGCCGAGTCCCGTGGGAAGTGACACCTCCAGCATCTATGGGGAGATGTGGGGTATGCTCCAGCTCAAGGGTGAGGGTATGACTTGCCCTGTATCAAAGTATTAGGGGATGCTGGTATCAGTAGCTCAGCAAAAAGGAGATTAAAGGATGCTTCGATCAGAGGGCTATAAATACCTAGGTTGGAAATAAAGCAGAGATAATGGGCTGCCAAGCATGGAGAACAAAGTTACAGCAAATGCAAAGGCAAACCAATAAATGCTCCGTGGAGAGATCAGTTTTAACACCGGGCTCTGTTTGCAGCAGTCGCCAAAAGCAGGGGTGGATTTACCGTCAAGGCTATTTTTATCTCAGGTGTCAATGCTTCTTTGAAAGAAATACCACCTTTGAGGCAAAAGCTATCTTTGGGATGTCAGGAGTTACACGCCAGAGGTCAGAAGGGGTGATCACCCTGACTCTTTTGTTCTTACAATCTGGGAGCTTCAAGTTATATCTCTTAATGTGTCCTTAAAAATCCCAGGGCCAACAAAACTCGGGCTAACAACTAGTAGAGCTGTGCTTACAGAGGCAGGCAGCAGCAATATTTCTAATCCTTGCTAATTCTTCAACAGCTCTCGGTGTGATGGCAACAAAAGCATCTCTGTTGACTTTGTGTGTCATACTGGGGCAGTACCAGGTTGTTTTCTGAGTGATGTGGTGGTAAAAGTTCCATTTCCCTTAAAAACCTGTTTGTTTGTTTCTCGTTATGTACAAGAAAACATGAGTAAGTTTGAAGGCCACATCCAGGCTGTGATTTCCTGTAAGCAGTGGAAAAGTGGAAAACGTAGAGCAAAATCAATTAGCGCAGCCTGTCTTTCCACTGCTAGAAGGGTCTTTCAGCTGAAATAGTATTCCATGGTATATATTTCAAGCATATGTTTTGTCCAAACAAATGTACTTGGAGAACCACTATAACAGTCATCACCGGCAGTGCTGCTGGAACAGCCTATGCTATAGAGTTATAGCCCTGCCTTGCTTGAAATATGGTTTTATATATTGATTTAAGCACCCCCACACACACACGTCGCAAGACAGATCCGAACAGGATTGGGGCAGCACGCCACAGGTTATAATATCGAGGATTATTTATTTCACTCTGGCAAAGAAAGGAGGCTAAAAATCCCCAGAGCAGTGCTGGGTGTGAGCCCGAGTGGCATTGGGCTTTCGCAGCAGGCCGCAGCCGCTCCGTCCGGTTCGTATTTAGCCCCGAGCCCGTGTAACCGCCCCTTGAGCATCACCCCTGACCCCGGGAGAGGGGGCTTCTCACCCCACCGCGCTTGACGTTGTTACTAAAAAATAGGGAGGCTCTGGTTTGAGCAGACGGGGAAGGTTGCTCATGCGGAAACGCTCCTGTGACAAGTATCTTGGCGGTTTCGTTGTACCTGCCGGGGATCTGCCACCTGAAAGGTCCCTCGTCCAAATTCCCCGAGCTCCGACGCACTTGTGTCCCAGCCCATGGGGGTTGCTGCCCCCCCCCCCCCCCCCCAATATGTCCCGATGGCCAGGGTGGAAATCCATAAATGCGCAGGGGTGTTTGGAAAAGCGGATTTTGCTGGAGGAAGGGAGGGTGCCAGCGGCGTCCCTGCCCCGCGTGCGCCGCAGCCCCGGCGGCACCCAGCTCCCAGTATGGCCCAGTTATGCTGGGGGGGTGTGTTTGGCTGGGGGGGGGTGGGGAAGGTGTTTTTTTGGGGCTTGCTGGGCTCACGGGTGGCAGGAGCCCCCTGAAAATGGCGGCACCCCACCATAGGTGTGCTATGTGCATATGTATATACGTACCTGTGTCATGTATACACACATGTGTATTTATATGTGTATGCATGTGCATATGTATATATACACACACGAATATATGCACATGTATAGATGTACACTTAGATTACAAGCATATAGACATGCATACATACATAAGTACACATTTACATGCATATATACATATATACACATACATGTATATACATGTATGTATATGCACATATATACAGGCATACACACATGTATACACATCTACATTTGCATATGCATATACATATACACATATACAAGCACATGTATACATATTCATATAAATATACACATACATACACATGTATACATATACATATACAGGCATATAGACACACATGTACATATACATCTACATTTGCATATGCATATACACATACATATACAAGCACATATGTATACCTATACATACACACATGTATACATATACACATACACATAGAAGCACGTGTGTACATACACATACACACACATGGATACACACATATAGACATAGCTATATACACATATACATACACACACGTATATGTATACATATGCATATAGATATACATGCATATGTACACGCATACACACACAAAAGTACACCTACACACGCACGCACGTGTGTATAAGCTCACGCACTCACAGACACAGATGCCCACGTACACGCGTGTGCATACGCACGCGTGTACACACAAGCCCCCCGCCCCCCGTGGAGCGGTACTACAACTCCCGTCACGCCTCGGGGGCAGGAGGGGGCGTGGCCCCGTGAGGCGGGGGCGTCGCCCCGCCCCCGGCCCCGCCCCCGGCGGTGGGGTGCGCGAGCGCGCGGCGGGGGCCGAGCCAGAGGGCGGGCGGGCGGGCGGCGCGGTGGGGGCGGCGGTTGTTGTGAGGGAGCCGGGGACGGGGCGGAGAGAGGGGGGGGTGGTGTTGGTGTTGTCGATCGTTCGGGTTGTTCTCTGCGGCCGCTTCCCGGCAGCCGCCGCCGCTTCCTTTCCCGTCGGTCGCAGCGCCGCTCCGCCGGGGCACCGCGGGGGCGGCGGGGAGCGCAGCGGAGGCTCCTTCCCCTCTCGCCCAGCCGGGGCTACCGCCCTCCGCGCGGCCCTGAGGAGACGGGGACGGAGGCTGCGGCTGCCCCTGCCCCTTATCCCCGCTCCCGGAGTGCCCCCCCTGCCCGCCTCGGGGAGTTGCGGCTGCCGCCTTCCTCCTTGGGGTGAGTATCGCGCCTGTCGCGACAGAGCGCGCCCGCGTCGCGAGAGGGGCTGAGGGCCTGCCCGCGGGCTGCCCGCTTCCTCGGGCCCCCGCTCGCCCCCCTCCCCGCCACCCTGCACGCTTTGTGCTGCGCCTCGGCACGGCTGCCTTTTCCTTGCTGGTTTTAAAATATTTTTTTTTGTTTTGTTTTCCGGGGGTTTCGGCAGTTTGTTGTCTTTTTTTTTTTTTTTTGTGTGTGTGTGTGTGTGAGGGTCTTTATTTTTTTTTTTCCTTTTTTCCTTCCCCCCCCACCTAGAGCAGGCTGAGCCCCGCGCTGGGGCTGGATGTGTTGGGGAAGCTCTTTGTCATGGAGCGGCTGCCGAGCCGCCTGCCCTCGAGAAAAGCATCACTTTAAACCAAGAAAAAAAAAAATAGAGAAAAAAGTCGTTTAGTATTTAGACCTCGAGGTTTTCTTGAATTCGAGGGGTGGGTTTTTTTGGCGGCGGTGGTGTTATTATTATTTTTTTACCGCGGAGGAAAGAGTCCCCCCTGAAGTCCAGGCTCCATTTATCGCAGCCCCCTATGCCGGAGCGTTGAATGGGAGCAGCACGCAGGCGGGGGAATACAAAACAAAGGGGGATTTTGTTTTGTTGTTGTTAACCTGCAAAATCTTGGTGGGAAAGCTTGCTTCTTTTTTTTTCCCGTAGCTCGTCTAAATTTGATGTTGTTTTACTCCAGAAGAATCCAGATAGCCGGTAGGTAAGTTGTGTCTTTTTTAATTTTAAGCTTCTTGGGTGAAGGTTTCTTTCTTGTATCCTCAGCCTTGCCTCTTTTGTGAGCAGCCTCCCAACCAGCGCAACTTTCGTCGGGTTTTTCTTTTGACTTTTTTTTTTTTTTTCCACATAGTTAAATAATGCGGTTTCAGGAAGGGCTAATAGCAGGGGGACATTCTGCCTGTCACAGCCATGGAGAAGATTTTTTTTTTTTTAAAAGACAGGGGAGTGGAAGAGTAGTTGTGTTCTCAGCTGAATAACTGTTGCCTCTTAAGGAGGATATTTTAAAGCAGTTGTGTTTTTATTCTGAAAACTTGTTTCGTTTTTTTTTTTTTTTCCCCTTTGTTTTTATTTTAACTACCTCCTCAAAAACTGCAGCTACTTCACCTCTGCAAAATGCAGCTTCTAGAATACATGCAAGCAAAAAGCAGTCTAGCTGTAATGATTGTGTTTCTGGCCTTACCTTTTAAAAGCCACCGATTTGTTTTTGTTGGGGTGCTGCTGCCTTGAAAACACACTACTTGGCTAGTAAAATTACAAAGCATTTCAGCTAGACAGAGCTGGCAGTTCTGCATCTGAAGGACGCTGGGTTTATTTTTTCCATTTTGAATGTGTGTGGGGGGCTGGGGGAGAGCTGAGGGGAAAAAGGCTGTTTCCGGTTTCTGTTCAGCAGCTTTTTTTTTTTTTTTTTTTTTTTTTAACAAAGAGGCAGCCAGATGACCTGTTGATGATACATCTTCTGTCACTTTTTGTGCTGAAAAGCACTGGTAGGTTAGTGGAGATGAAAGCTTCAGTCGAACAGGCTTCCCAGATTTTAATTTGCATGTATCGTTGCGCTGTCTGTGTGGCTTTGTAATGTTTTAGGCCGACAATTTTGGAGTGAGTAATGTAATGCCAAAGTTCAGGTGTCTGCACGGGACACTCCCCCTCTCCCCTGTCCTCCTTCCCCCCCCGAGAAAAAGCCTAGTTAGTAGAAAATTGAGCACTTGTAGTTGGAAAATTAGACCCTTTTAGTGCCGCGTGAGATTTGTGTCCTAACTCTGTATGAATGGCCAAGCAGGAGGCTTCAGGAATGCGTTTTAGTTGAGTATACACACACTTACTGGGTACCGTAAGCTTAAACATATCTTATTTCAAATTAATTAAACTTGTAGGAGCACCTATGTTATGCTGAGTACAGTCCTGTGAAGTGTGCCTAATGAGTATTTCTGTTCTTACTAAACACTGAAATGTATTTCACAGTGCAGCAGGTCACCAGGCTAGTGTTCACCTTGGAAATTAAAATTTTGAGTAACTACTAGTTTTTCAGTTAAAGCAGAACTTAGTATAAAGTCTATCTGCTACAGGCATGTTTTGTATTTTGATACTGATACTGCTTTCTCTTAAGAAACCAGGCATGGAAAACGGGATTTTTTTCACTTCAGGATTTATAGCTAGGGACTCTGTGTTTGCACATGCAAAATAGAACATCATCTGCTTGGAGCCAATGGTATTTAAAACTTATTCATTTGGAAGGAACTAATTACAAGTATATTTTGATATAAAATGTTTTCTCAGATAGGAACTCTGGAATACAGGAAAGCAGAAAACCCAGAGTTGTTTGTAGATGCTAATCCATGCCCTGAGCTAAAAAAAGGAAGTATGAGGGTGTTTCATGAGAAATCAGTCACCTTTAAGTGCATACTTGTAAATGAAATTACACAGTTGATTAGGAATTCCTGCAGGATGCCAGTGATTGGAGGTACTTGTTGCTAGCTGGTCACTGTGTACCTTGCTGGTTAGATCATAGAAGTTCTGATTGTAGGCGGCATTGAGAGGAAAAGGTCCAGCTCCCTTGCTTCCCATACTTTCCCTCCTCAGTCGCCAGATTCACAAGCATGCTGACAAACTGTCAGAGGAAGTGACAGCACAGAGATGGTGTAGGAAGTAGGTCGAGCACCGCTAAGTACTGTTGAGAAAGTTTTAGTGGAAAAAAGTAAGCATGTTTCCATCTGATCTAGTTTGTTTCCTTTCAATCTACTGGTTAACATGATGCACCAGTAGATTTCATATTCCTACTGTAGTCCCCCGATTCTACTGAAATTAATATTGTATCCCTAATCTGGCCCAGTTAGCCTACCTGGATGGAAAGATTCGTGGGGAAAAAGGTAAAATAGCAATTCAGTTCTGATCCCCTGAGGTGCAAATCGTGTCAGCTGGGCAAAGCTGAAGTGGCTCTGTGTCTCCCAGGAGGCGGTGGGCAGCTGGTGGGATGGATTTTTCCTGTCCCTGTGCTGCTGTAGGCTCTCCAGTTGGGCAGCTGGGGCAGTAGGGTAGCTTTGTGGCATGTTCTTTGTGGCCTTTATGTCTTGCAGTGGATGCGGCAATTAGTAGTCACAAGAAATTGTAAGTGCTTCTTGTTTATAATGTTTGAACTGATGTATTCAGAAACCTGTCTTCCAGGTTAAAAAAAGATTAAAGTTCTTTGGCGTGTTAGAAATCATCCTTAAACTTAAAAAAAAAAAAAAAAAAAAAGCAAGCTCTGTCTACCCTGTTGCTGCTTTCTCCTAAAAGCAGTAAAAACAATTGACAATAGCCTTGATTTACAGAAAAATTACAGCCTTGTACTATGAATACGTTCTTTTCCAAGTATCCTAGATTTATATTGATTTGAAAGGGAGATCTTGCTTCAAGTAGGAAGAGGTACTTCGGTGCTTTGTATGAGTGAGCGCGTGGCTTATGGGCTACCTAGGTGAGCCCGATGTCATGGACTTCTTTTGCTGACCCATGTTGTGATTTGGAGGACTGAATGTTGCTAGCTGCTCAAAATGACCTTTCTGGAATAACCCTGTAGCCATGAATGGATGTAAAATAGTTGACTGGAAACTACAGGCTCTAGAGGAAAGGTCTGTTGTCCCGTGCTGAAGGTAGGTGGTCATCGATATCAGTCTTGCTCCAGCAACACCTCCTGGCTGGCATGCTAGGTGTAAATGCTGTGAGAGATGGTGTTTGGGAGGTGGGCTCAAGTGTGAACTAGGCAGCAGCTCATTTGATTCAGACTGAACATAGTGCCTGGATGGAAGTGTTTGGTTAAAGACTGATTGTATCCTCCAGGTCCCTGACATTCAGGAGCACAGTTCGGTTCATGTATAGGTAGGAAAAGTTAATCTGCTGATTTTCTTTCTTAATCCATGCTGCTGAATTCAATCATAATGACTTGACTGCCACCCATGGTACGTACTTATATAAATGCTGAATTTTGGGCTCGAATCTCATGTACTCGAAAGCAGAGTGGACTGAACCTTGCAGTGTATTTCTGGTTGTGGTTTCAGGATCGGGAGTGTCCTATAATTTTACTCTTCTAATTGAAGGTATATGGCAGTTGTCAGAGTAGGAGCAGTCAAAACCTCTTACTCTGGTTCTGTAATTATATTCTTGTTGGGAATAGGATTTGTTCAATTCACACTCCCGTTGCAGTACTTTCTTTGTTCACCAGTAGAGTATGTTGGAGAAGACTGGATACGTGTCATGCTGGCTCAGAATGCTCTTGATCTCCCTCAATGTTGGCTATCCAGCTATGTCAACCAGATGTTTTTCTGTGCCGACCCTACTTATAGCAGATTAATTGCATAAATGTGTTTTTAGAAGGGAGAAAAGTGTTCCTTACGGGAAAAGGGTTTTTTTAATAATACAGAGATGTTTGGGCTGAAGAGATGCAGGTTGGGCTGTATTAGATAGCGTGGGCAGGTATGTATTGGGGGAAGCAATTGCACCATCTAGTTGACAAAAGTTAATCAAAGACCCAGATGTTGGCAAGCTTTTGCTGATAGAGCACTTTTGTCAGCCTGTTAGTTTACATATTCGGTATTCAGGGAGATAAGCATGACTGTTTTGGCAGAAAAACTTTTGTCACTAAACGTTGTATTTCCATTTGTGGGTCTGTAACATTTGCTGTCGTGTCTGAGGCTCTGCATTGTAGACAAGCCTATAGCATAGCACAGAAATGAACAGCAAGGAAGGTAGGAAAAAGATGAAATGAAGCAGACTTAAAGCAGAAGTGATCTACAGAATATTCTTCTAATTATTATTAGGTTAATATGAATAGCTACTAGAGAATGCTGTTCTGTGGATCGATTGAGGTTTTGAGTGGGCTATAGCAAAAAATGCTTTGTAGATACTTGCAAAACATGGGATTAGAGCAAGTTGGTTAAGATTCTTTGGGGGGGGTAGTTTATTTGAGCTAAAACTTGAAGAGAAGATGGAAAAAAAAAAAAAGAAACAGCCCAAACCAAGGAAAACAACAAACAAAACCCTGCCTAGCCAAATTGGTCTTTAAGTAGACCACCATCAATTTTTTTTTGCTTCCATTGTCAATTGATCCATCTGCCTGGATGTACTTAGCTGCTTGTATTTCAAGTATGAAATGTTTCTGCAACTATATAATCCTTTGGGCTTCATTACGCTTGAAAATACTCCTTCCTGAGCTAGGATACTATTTTCTTTACTTCATGGGCGAGGTGGGGGGATAGAGATCAAATTTGAAGGGACTGACTTGTTTTCTGTTAAGACGACTACCAAGATTTGCCGTTGGTACTGGTGGAGCTCAAGGCCTGCAAGAGTTTCTGGAGGCACAGTGAGAGCAAACTTAGTGATCTATCTGGTTTGAGCATCTCATCCTGTCCTGCTTGCCTCTTCAGTGCTCCTGCTTAATTGTCTGGTGGTTTGTCTGAACAGAGTAGCAAGCAACTGGAAAGTAGTAGCTGTTGAGTTAGTTTCTCCCTCCCTTCTGCCAGCTTGTCCTCTAGGATGGTAACCCCCTTGACCTGGGTCAACAACATGAATGTGTTAATTGTTCTTTGGATCAGGGCAGCCAAACTGGCATCTCTGGGTTAGATCTAGTTTGAAACATTTCCATCTAGCTGGTCATCTTTGCCTAAGAAGCAATCAGCAACGGCTGGGGCAGCACGTGAAGCACCTAGTTGGAACCGTGGGCTTTAGGTATGGGAA